GAAGGAAGGGAAGGCTGGAGGAGAAGGGCCTTGCTCCTGCCTGTTTCCTATCTGCTTAGCCAGCAATGGTTTTTCATGGCAGATGGCCCCAACAGCCATTAATTCTACATTCTAGTTTTCTCTTCATGACCCCAAACCAGTCTCAGTGTACTTTCTCAGAGGGGCCAGCAGCACCACCCAGAGCCCTTGAAGGCTTGGATCCCAAGTGCACAAGGACCCTTCCTTCAAACTTGCCCAAGGATGGGGTAAACTCTAAGTATGACCTTATCTGGCCACCTGGAAGCTTGTTAAATCACAAGTTGCTGGGCCCCACCCTCAGTGTTCTGATTCAGTTTGAATTTGCATTGCTAACAAGGTCCCGGGTGATGCCATACAGCTGATCTGTGAGGCACAGACCCAGGGGTGGCTTTCTGTAGTTAACTACTAGATCCTCTGTGGCCTCCACAATCACTTCCCAGAGTCAAATTCTCTTAAAATAATTGATGTGTCATCTATTTTCCTGAATGGATCCTACCTATTGTACAGTCAAGGCAGAGTCAACCCCTATAGAAAAACCTCTGTTTCCCACAGTAGTTCTAGAAATTGCAATTGCCGTTCTAGTGGCTAGGCTCGAATACTCCTGTGACAAAGTGAGAGCTCAGGTTTGCCTTTCCTAAAGCAGGAAATGAAGAGACAATTAGTATATATGTCCAAACTCCACCAGATCCCAAGAGAAGGAAGCCAAAGGGACAAGACTGCAACATTGGCCTCTTTGGGTTCCTAAAACCTCCAATCAGGTCATGTGGTTGAAAATACATCAGACAGATGCCATAGAAGATACCACCTCTGGCTACAGTTCAGGTGTCGTGGTGGCACTGCCCAGATGCAGCCATCTGCTGACAAACAGCCCAGGATGTACAGACACTGAGGGTGCCCAGAAGGTCTGCCCAGTGCAGCACTCACCAGTCATTTCATGGACAAAACCACACTCACTATGATTCCTGAGCAGCAACGGGACTGAGGAAGCAAGACAGAGCCCCGCTGGGTCCCTAATGCAGAGGCCTGGGAGATAACCCAGAGCCAGCTAGCACTCGATTGAGCCTTGAGGGGTGGGTGGAGGATGCCCTGCCCTGGAGGTGCCACCATCCTTCCTCCATCTGAAGGTCAGAGACCTGATCCTCCTAGCTCCACAGAGCTAAGAGACTCCCTCTGTGCTGAACTTGAGTGATGCCCACACCAGCCCAGGCAAACACAGCTACTTGAAAACTACCTTTCTCCTCCACCCTGTTGTCCATCACATTGCCATAACAGCCATCCATGTTTGCCCTCCCCACCGCTCCATCCCATTGTCAACTTGTTCTCTAGCAGGTCTCTGCCCTTCTCTACTGTGATTTATTTCCATGAATGCCACCCAAAGTGACAAAAAAATGTATGGGACAGTATTGCAAAAAACTATCTCCTTCTTATAAGCCTCTAATGGCCAATCAAAGTTCAAACCACACTACGATTCCACTGAGGTACAACTTGGGGAACCGAAGAGTTTATCTGGGCTTATTACAGAGCATGATGTTGGATCACTTACAGGGGTATAGGTGATTGATCCCAAAGTCTCACCACTGCCTATGTGATCACTTTCCCGCTAGCTGCATAGATGAGAGTCTTTTCTTCTTCATTAATCTTCCAGTCTGTATTCTAGCACCTCCAGAGACCACAAGGTCAAATGTAATTAGGAAACAATTACATCTGAATGGCTGGGGAGGGGGTACAGTAAAGAATCTCCGGTGAGTCCAGTGACCCTCCCCACAACCTCCTTCTATGAGGTAGTGTAAACAGTCAGCAAGCCTATTCTTGGGGGTCTTTTGTAAATAGTCTCAGCTGTTCTGATAAAAATGATGACTGTTGTTCTCATGGGGTAGTATTCTGCAACAGATAGGAGGGGGTAATTTTCTTCACTGCCCTATTGATAACAAAATGCTCTAGTTTAAACCTGATTCTCAATTCTTCCATGTGTGTACACACACATGTGAATGTGGGAGTTGGACTCTGGGCTTTGCACTCATACTAAGCACTTATTCTATGACTGAGCTATAACCCCAGCCCCAACTGGACTCTTAAATGTGGGGAGAGATCCCTAGAGAGTCTTAGAGTATAGAGACAGTTCATGTCATCAGTGAAGCATGTGACAGATAGAGGATAAGGAAGTGACCTGAATGGGAGGGCACACAGGGCTTAACAGACACCACCTACAACTGACCATTAACTATGTTGTTCCACATTGACTGCGAGGTATACAAGTCATTCAACAGCTTGCCTCTCCCATGACATCTTAATCCTTTAAGGGCCATGGCCAAGCCCAGACTGTCAATGGATTTCTGCCTAGTAGTCTGTGAAAAGCTGTTGCTTGACTGTGGCCAACAGCCAAGGGCTCTTGGTTGGGAAACCACCCCCACCCGCATCTCTTCACTTACTTCAGGAGTTTCAAGCTCTGGAATCATTGTGGCTCAAACTTATATCTCTGCTTTCCATTTCTCTTCTGCTTCCATTATGGCAATTTGCCTTCCCCCAAAACAGGGAACAAGGATAAAAGTTGTATATACTATGTCAGGAACAGAGCAGCAGAAACTCTGTGGCTCCCTTTGGACATTTTATAAGCACAGGACTGCTCCCAGGGCCTGGCACACCTAAGCACATGATAACTGTCAAATTAACACAAGCATAAACTATTAATTGCCTGGTTTTTTTTTAGAGTTCTAGAATATTATTTTTATGTGCATAGAAATTAATAATCAGGGTTTGGAATATGTAACTCAGTGGTAGGCAGTATTTAGCAGGTATAGGGGCCTGTGTTTGACCCCCAGCTACCAAATAATAACAGCGTTCTGTGAAATGTTTGTTAATTGATTCTAACCTACAGTGAGCTGGTGTTTAGTTCTAGTACTAAGAAACATTTTTCAATTAGGACTGTGATGACTCAAAGAACAAAGGAGCTGGTAAGAAAAGGTTGTTAGAAATTAAACTACAGTCAGATTAGAATTAAACTCCCAGCCCACCAACAGCTCTATGAACTTGAGTGAGGCTTTCTTACTCATTGGTCTATACAAAAAAATCGCATTAATCCTCCTTCCCTTAACAATTCAAGTTTATCATATGGTTATATTCATTGTGGAAATTTCTAAGCTCTCCTTAAAAGGAAAAAAATCTATATAAATAAGTATATGATTTAATTGTAAAGCTTATTCAATCCACTTGATGGAGATAATTTGCCAAGATAGTTGAGAAGGATTGGCATGTTGTTTTGTAAGACAGAACATTCAAAGTCCATTTGTGGCGGGAACTGGCACATGTGAGTGTGTTTTTTCAGGTTTGAGGGTATGTGCCTATACGTGAACTCCAGAGTAGTGCTTCTCACACTTAAATGTACACACAAACCTCACAGGGATTGTCCTAGTTAGCTTAGGCTGTCAATTTGACATAGCCTAGAGTCGTGAGAGTCTCAATTGAGGGATTTTCCTGATCAGACTGGTCTGCAGCCAAGCCTGTAAGAGAGTGTCTTGACTGATCACTGGTGTGGGAGGGCCCAGCCCACTGTGGGCAGCACGATCCCTAGGCAGGTGGGCCTGGTCTATACAAGAAAGCCAACTGAGCACGAGCTAGAGAGTGAGCCAGCAAGCAATATTTCTCCACGGCTCCTGCCTCCAGGTTCCTTTTAAGTTCCTGCCCTGGCTTCCCTCAATGATGGACTAAGACCTGAAAGTGTAAGCAAATAGACCTTTTACCTCCAAAGTTGCTTTTGGTCAGAGTGTTGTATCATAGCAACAGAAAAGAAACTATAACAGGAATGTCGTTAAAATGTAGATTCTAGGGCTGGAGAGATGGCTCAGCAGTTAAGAGCACTGGCTGCTCTTGGCAGAGAACCTGGGTTCGAATCCCACCACCCATATGACAGCTAACAACCATCTGTAACTCCAGTTTCAGGGGATCTAATGCTCTCTTCTGACTTCCAAGTGTGCTGCATGACACAGGTACACTTGTACACATGCAGGCAATATTCTCATACATATAAAATAAAAATAGTAAATAAAATATTTTTTAAATAAAAAAATAAAATGTAGTTCCCAATTCAGAAGTCGAGTGGGACCCAAGATGGCGCATATCTAGCAAGCTCCCAAGTGATGCTGATGCTGCTGGTCCCAGGACCACACTGAGTAGCAAAAGGAGTTACACCAGACAAATGTGTCTGAGAAAGTCAATGGGTCCAGGCCTTTATCAAGTTTCTACTTGTTTGACTGGAATTTTACTTTCTACTATTAAGTTGGCCCTTCAAAGAGCAAAGCACCTATTGATCTGTGTAATGCTCCAGATCACTTCTTTCAAGAGGTCTCACACTCCAAATGCTAATCAATCCTATCTTGCTCTAGAGCTTAATCTAATCTCTGGGATGAGATGGCAAGCCAGCTTTGCCTGGTCAGAGAGATGGCAAGGACAGCTAGCACCTGCCTTTTTCCAACCTTCTGAGCTGCCAGAACAGTGTCACCCTCTTGAAAACCTAAGTGTTTGGAAACTCCACATCCTGATCCAACAGTCAGCGGTATAGACCCCCTGGCACTTGACAGAAGCTGCAAGCTTAGATGAGAACTCCAGATTCCCACTGCTTCTTTCTTTTAACTGCATGGGGCCTTCCATATGGACAAAGCCCCAGGCACTCCACCCACCAGACCACAGCCTGCCCTACCCATAGCCCAATAAATTCCAATCTGGTCCTCATACATTTGGGGAAAAGGATGTTTGTGGTCCAATATTATTAGTCCTAGAGCTGGAGGGTATCTGCAACTGGAAATTGGTGGATGAGCAGGAAAGAACAAAAGAGGAACCTTGCAGAGAAAGTGTGCCTAGTCCAAAAGCTTCCTGCCTGCAGAGCCTACTGGGAAACATAGTGAGAGGGAACTTAAAGCATCCCTCCATCTTGCAATCCTGCTCCAACTGAAATGGGTACCCTGAACCCTGACACAGTGACTCATTACCGATTTCTCCTGGCACATGTTTGCCATGGAACCGAAAGCAGGCAATGACATTCAGGCAGTTCACAGGCTGCTGGCCATCATGACACTGAGGCGCAGTGATGTTGATGGAGACTGGGAGGAAGATGGAGACATCCACTGTGATGACAGGTCTGGCCCTGAAAGACAAGGGGTGGGGGAACCTGTGTTAAGTAGCAGCTCTCAGAGTCAAACAAGAGCTGTACAAACAGGAGAGATTGTGCGCCTTCAGTCAGTATTTAATTAAACAATGAAACTCAACAGAGAAGGACCAGTATGCCCTGTAAATACTTTTTCTGATTTTGAGAGCAGAATATTCCCTAATAAACTAATGGTTTGCTTCCCAATAGCAAAGGCAAGTTGGTTGTTAATAAAACACATCTGGCTGAAGCCATAAATCAAGTACCAAGTACTGCGTGATTATTTGAAATTTCACCAAAGAAGTTCTGATTTCCATTTTACTAGGGAGATGTGAATGTATGTAAGAGGAGTTTCTGCAACAGAAGTGATTCAAGAACTAGGTGCAAAGCAGGCATGGTAGCTCCCCGATACCTGTAGTCCCAGAACTTGGGAGACTGAGTCAGAAGGGTCTCCAAGAGTTTAAGGCTAATCTGGGCTACAAAGTGAGACCCTGACGCAAAAAACCTAAAAGTAAAAAAATGAGAGAAGTAGATTCATACTCGACTCCCTGCCACTGTAAACCTGAACTGCAAAGTTCTAACCTCGTCCAGTTGGTCAAATATCCCCCTTCATTTATCTCTATTAATTCATTAAGTTTTTTTTCTAGAAGAAATTGATTAATGGAGTCAGAGAAGAACGCTTCAAGAGTAGAAGGCATCAGCCTGTCTGGCTTTGGGAACAGATGAAATCCAGTAAATACAGTCCTCTCCCTGACAGGACCATCCCCCAGTTCCTGATGGACAGACAGCATCCCTGGACTCCCCTGGGGCAACGAGAGGAAAGCTGTGAGGACTCCAGTCCTCTCTCATTGTAAACATCTGCTCAGGGAGGAGGCACCTAACCTGGGGCCTGACCTTCTTCCCCTCCAGGCTTCACAAAAAGAGCCTTTTACCACTCAGGAGCCCTGGCCTTCATGCTGCTGAGGTGACACAATAAGATTAAGGGGCATAGCAGCTTGGGAATAATGACCTCGCTTGTGTGTAGTTCTCCTTCAAAGTGTGTCCAGGGTGACAGGGCAGATGGGACTGATGACCAACCAACTCCAGAACAAGAGAGCATTAATGAAAACCTGACTGCATAAACCAAGTGGGGAGATACGCAGCACAGATGGCGTGAGGGGCCCCTGCTGCTGCCACCACTGCCAGGATAGGAGGGTCAACAGAGGGGCAGCTATGATCAGGGCAGTGAACAGTGAGATTCTCCGAGCAAATTCAGCTATGGGGCAAACAGAGGTTAGACAACAATAGTGAATGAAAAATAAGTCAACATCCTGATCTCCTGAATTTTCTTCTGGGTTCATTCTTAGAATATGGTAGAATTACTTAGAAAGTGGATAATTCCACCCTAGTCAATGTGACTGTTTAGATGCTGTTATGGTTAATATTGTCAACTTGACAGGATCTAGAATTACCATGGAAGTAAACCTCTGGGCATATCTGTGAGGCAGTTTCTAGACTGAATTAACTGAGGTAGGAAGACCCACCCTGGATGTGGGTAACATCATACACGGGCTGGGAGTCCCAGACTGAATAAAAAGGGAAAGGCAAGCTGAGCACCAGCCTTTATCTCGCTCTGCTTTCTGACTGTCGATGCCACGTGACCAGCTGCCTCACACTCTTGCAGCCATGCCTTCCCCACCATGATGGACTGTGCCCTCAAACTGTGAAAACTTTTGTTCCTTAAGTTGCTTTTTTCAGGTATTTTGTCATAGCAATGAGAAAAGTAACCAATACAGATGTTGAGGAGCACTGCATAAAGACCCACTGACCCTCCCCGAGCCTTCCTAGTAACACCTGGCTCCCTCTGTGGTCTCAGATCTGTGGACATACCTCTTGCCTGCTGCCTTACTAAGGAAAATAGCTATTGTCTATTTTTTAAATTTTATTTACTATTTTTATTTTATGTATATGAGTGTATTGCCTGCATGTGCACCCATGTCACGCAATGCCTACAGAGGTCAGAAGAAGGTGTCAGGTTCCCTGAAACTGGAGTTACACATGGTTGTTAGCTGCCATATGGGTGTTGGGAACTGAACCCAGATCTTCTGTGAAAGCAGCCAGTGCTCTTAACTGGTGAGTCATCTCTCTAGTCCCGCTGTTGTCCATTTCTAAGCCTGACCCACAAGTCTAAAGCTCAGTGAGGGTGCAGGAGAGACAGAGACAGATAAAGCACCCCAAGTTTCACAGACAAGGGGTCCCAGAGAAATCTAGGCTCCTTTCTGCACTGGTACCCTGGCAGCCCTGGCTGCCTATGGAAAAGAAGAAAAGCCAGCACATTCCCTTCTCAGCCTCAGGGGCCACCTGGTCAGAGAGAAAGCAGATTCCTCCTTTCACAGAGAACTCAGCTGAGCAGGGTGAGGTGAGCAGGAGGCAGAAGGGAGCAGTCCAGACTGAACAACCTCGACAAAGCTTGCAAAAACAGAAGCCTTTGAAAGAGCCGGCAGAGGCCTTCCCCGGTACATCTCCTTCCAACATCTGTTACATCAGTTCCCTCCACCTTTTTGTTTCCACTCCAAGTATTGTTTTTGGATGAGGAAAAGCCCAGAAATCTTTCACAAGCCTCTCTGATCACTTCCTTTGCCCCTCAATGGCATAGCACCAGGCGCCTATCACCGGAACGCAGGACCTGCCCTCCTGAGCAAACTTCCTGAGGGCAGAGCTGGGGCCAGCCCACACTCCTAGGGTGTAACCTGCCTTTCACAGGCCCACCTGCCACCCACCAACCCCTGAGATAATGGGGGCACCTAGGGACAGCACCATAAGTGCTTTCGAGATTCAAAGAAGCAGGTAGCTACAATGCTTTCTAATGGCAGACATGTCAAATCTTGACACTTTGCTTCAGGGTAATAATAAAAGCAGTCAGGGTAGGGGTATTCTTTCACATGATGTTGTTCCAATTTCCCTGGCAGGGCAGAGACAGCCAAACAGATAAAGAACCTCAACCCTTGGTGAAAGCAGTTAGTGTTGAAACCAGTCCTAGGCTACCTCCGTTCAAGAAGTCAATTTGTGTTCCCCTAGTCTAGGATGCTCAGTCAGGTTCTCTTAGCTACAACCCAATGCATTCTCAAGCCCCACAGCTCTGCAGCCTCTCCCTTTAACCACAAATGGAACTCCCTTTAAGTACTGTAGTACCTTCAGCTACAGTAAACATAGTGTCTGTCTGTGGTATACATACATGTGGTCCAGACTTTGTCTTTACTGGTCCCATCCAAAATCTGAGAAAACCCAAACTCTAATTTGCCTATCAGAGAGGTCATGCCTGAGGCCTCAGCTTAGCTCAGTCAGGTATGGCCTCCAGGTTTGCTTGTTCCTGGTCATTCAACCACCTCTCAGCACATGATGCCGCCATAGAAGTCCACCCTGCCTGGCAATTCCTTTGCCTATCCCTCTGTGCTCTTTTTCTGGGGTCCATGGTTCCTCTTTGGCCCTTCTCCTGCTTCCAATCCCTTGCCCTCCTGGAATATACTGGGGGAGTTACCCTAACCTTCATGCTTGCCTACATCTCAAATTAAACCTCACTCTGGATCTAGTCTTATCTTAGGGCTTGGCTCAGTAGATGAGGCCCTCAAATCTCCCCAGCTAAAGGATCAGAGTCCATCTCTCTTAACAACCTTGACCCTGGCAGCAGCCCCCCTCCTCCTTCTGGTCTCTCTAACTTATACGGGATCCAAAGGAGGAATGAGGTCCGGGCACAAAGGCAAAGCAGAGAGTGACCACTCTGACTCATTCTAGTAGAGAGTCAGTGGCTTGGGATTAGAAAGGTCTCAAGGGGCTGGAGAGACGGCTCAGCAGTTAAGAGTACTGACTGTTCTTGCAGAGATCCTGGGTTCGATTCCCAGCACCCACATGGTGGCTAACAACTGTCTGTAACTCCAGTTCCAGGTGATCCAATGCCCTCTTCTGACCTCCACAGGCATTTCACGACGTGGGTGCACTTATACATATGCAGGCAATACACTCATACATATAAAATTAATTAATTAATTAATTAAATATTTTTAAAAAGAAAGGTCTCAAAAACATCCTTGGCCTAGTCAGTGAGCTTGAGGCTCTCTCCCTTAAACACTGCTCATGGATCCCATGTTGTGGCCCAGTTTGGGGAACAGTAACCAAAATCCACTTCCTTTGGCCACCCACAGCCATCTGGCTTCTGTCCCATCACTTCCCAGGAGCTGTTGCAGCCAACACCATCACTGACCTCTAAGTGCCACCTCTACCAGGACTCAGGCCCAACTGGTCCTTTGAATATGACCTTGCTTTGCTGTACTCTTGGCACTTACCACTATCTGGAATTATTTTTTAAACTTGTTCTAGCTTGCTTTCCTGTTGCTATGATAAACACCATGACCAAACGCAACTTGTGGAGGAAAGGGTTTATTTCAGCTTACAGGTTGCAATTGATCATGGAGGGAAGCCAGGGCAGGAGTTCAAGGCAGGAATCAAAGCAGAGACCATGGAGGAATGCTACTTACTGCCTTGCTTCCAGGCTCATGTTCGGCTACCTTTCTTATACGGTCCAGGCCCAGTTGCCCAGGGATGGCACTGCCCACAAGGGGACCTCCTACATCAATTAGTAATCAAGAAAATAACCCACAAACAGGTCCATGGGCCAATCTGATGGAGGCAGTTCTTCAATTGAGGTGCCCTCTTTCCATGGGTGTCAAGTTGACAACCAAGATTAGTCATCACATTCCCATTCATATGGGAAAGGGAAAAAAGAGAAGCTCCTTGAGTTTGGAGCTCATGGGGGAAGATGATAAGATGTAAGGATGACAGGACAAGATCTACACCATGAACCTTAAACTAAGTGCTCCGGTAATCGACTGCCTGTTGTCGCCTGCAAAAAGTCAGGAATGTATTATATCTGAGAGCAATCCAAACAACCAGACTGGAGGACGAGATTTCAGTTGTCACAAAGGCACTACTAAAGCTACCACAAAATAGATCGCCATTATTTAGAGACTTTTAGAGACTCACAAGCTGCCTCACCCAAGAGGAACGCCTCCATCTCAGAGGAAGGGGTGATGAAGAAAGTGAAAACCCATACATGGATAATTCAAGAAACTAGAGAGGTTTGATTTTAGTGAAGTCACCTGGGGGGATACAACTGCTATCTTCAAATACTGAAATACTGAAGGGCTGTAGGGTAGATGCTCCAGGACACACACACACACACACACACACACACACACACACACACACACCAGACTCTGCTCTAACATTTCACAGGTATTAGTTCACTGGTTTCTAGTAAGTAGTACTGTTACTATAAGTACTACTGTTATCGACTTTCACAGAAACAAATCCTGGAACAGGGCTCACTAATAAGAACAGAGGCAGAGCTGGAATCCAGGCCTCCTGGCCTCCAGGTCACACTGGGTCATACACACAAGGTCACACACAACCTCAAAGCTCTTCAGCCACTTTAACAATTAAAGTTTAGTGTTATCTGGCAGTCAACTGGTTCTTTCAAAGATGCCAAGCCCCCTTTTTTTTATGGGGACTCTCATTGAAGAAGAGGCTGTGTGTCTCTCTGGGGGAGATGTGGAGAAGGCAGGGGCTAAAGGAGAAGCATGTGGGGCGGGGTGTAGAACTCCATGGCCTGTGGGACCCCTTCCAGCTGAAAGACCCTAGCAGTTTATTTTAGAGTATTCTGCCATCAAATTATTAAAAAACTAAGTGTTGGCTCCAACTCCAAAATGTAATTCTGTCTCCTCTGACTCATACAGACAGAAATACTTAGAGATGGTGTGCAGGTGGAGACAGTGCTTTGAAGGGGAGACCCAGGCTGTATAGTCTTCAGCAAGTACTAGGACTAAGCACATGTTCTTCACCTCTGCTATCACCAGGGAATGGGCAGGAGGTTCCTGGTCCCTGAGGTTGAGGACTAACTGAGGTGATGATGTTGAGTATAGAGATAAAAAGACAGGATAGAAGGGGTGTCCCAGCCCTTTGAGTGTCATGGTGCTCAGGGGACACAAGAGTGCTTATACCACAAATTAACAAAAGGGGCTACTCATAACCTTGGGTTAAGGTTGGGCCATTCCAATCCCTGCCAAGAAGTTTTGGGGAACTCTCAGCTCCCACCTGTACACTAGTCAAGGTCCACATGCTAGAATTCTGTGATGGAGAATATGATTGAGACAATAAAAGCAGCATTTCCGTGTATTGAGTACCTTCAGCCTGGCCCAGGACAAACAGTCAGCTGGTGGGATGACTTCCTGTGTCTCCCCCACCAAATTCCACCCCTCGCTCATGGGGAACGCGACCCTGAGAGGAACAGCCAGGCATCTTACCTGAGAAGAACCACGCTGTCAGACAGGAAGGCTCCAACAGTGACATCTGAAAATGAGAAGTCACAGCTTCAAAGCTTCTGTGTAAACCATCCCCAGCTTCCCCTTGGCACGGTGCTCTACAGTGATAGAGGTCCAGCCCTGTGGTCAGGGAGCCCGCCTACTGCTGCTGTCTGGCTGTGTAAAGACTTTATAAGAATGAGAGCCACATTGTCCCAAATAGCAGCCAACCACATGTGGCCTGGAAATGAGGCTGGAAGTGTAAAACACATACCAGATTTCAAAGACTTCATTTTAAAAATTAACTCATTAATAACTTTTATATGGAGTAAATGATAAAATGTTGGCTATGGTGAGCTAAACCTCATTAAAATTAACTTCATTTTCTAGGCTCCAGTGGATGAACTCACAGCCAAGGAACATTTGGGGACACAAACTTGACTCTATAAGCCTTAACATATAAGACAGAATGCATAAAGTCCTGTGGGGGAGCTATGGGTGGTTGCAGATAGGGGAGGGGGTCTAAATATGATTAAGATGTATGAAATGCACAAAAATTCAATAAAAATATATATTGAAAAAATAACTTTTATTCTGTGTATATTTTTATGTAGTTACTGGAATATGTCAATTTACATATGTCCCTCACATTATTATTATTATACAGATATCAGTGAATTAAAGTGAGAGACACTCAGAACCAAAATAACTCTTGAGATATTCTCTAAGGTCTGTCAACCATAGGAATCTTCATCTTCTACCTCTCATTCTGTATGGCCACAGGGTCTCTGTGTCTTTTTAAAATAGGGTTTGCAATCCCTAGAACATTCTTCAAAAGTTCTCAGTGTTTCATGAGCTATAGAAATAGAAATGATCCCTTTTGAAAAGCATACTCTTAAAATTTTTATAATATTTAAATCATAAAATATTTACTAGATATTAAATGCAGGTACTAAATAATCTTTAAGCATCTTAAATATCTATTAAACATCTTAAATCAGATATCGAATCCAGAAAGTTTATGAAAATAATTGGAGAAATATAAGCTAAGCCATTGGATTAGCCAGTGGTTAGTATATATGTGTATGTGTATATTGGGGTATGTGTGTATATATGTGTTCATGTGGGGAAATACATGTGTGTATGCTGGTGCACGTGTGTACAGGTGCATGTAGAGACCAGAGGTCCATGTCAGGTGTCTTTCTCAGTCACTATCTTACTTTTTGAGCAGGGTCTGTCACTGAACCTAGAGCTTGCTGATTCAGCTAGACTGGCTGTCCAGTGAGCCCCAGGATCCCCTTTTCTCTGCCTCTCCAGACTACTGGGGTTATATTATACCAATGTACATATTAATATAGTATATTAATGTGGGCCCTGGTGATTAAATTCAGGTCTCGTGGCAAGCACTTTTGTTCAGTGAGCCCTCTTCCCAGCCTTAGCTCATTTTTTTTTAATTATGCCTGCTACCAAATCCAGAGAGTCACACAAACTAAACATGAGCTCTACCATGGAGCTATACCTCCAGTCCTTAATGTTTGTTTCTGAATAACTTCAAATTAGGAAGTACTCACTCATGTAATGGGATTTCTGACTATCTTCCATTCTAACATGAATCTCCTACCTAGAACTTCATTACTAATTCACAGAACCAAACATGTAAGTAGTCTAAGAGAGTCTAAACTGTGCATTATTAAATGAAAACACACAATGCTCTCACCAAGGGATTATAAACAGCAAATCCACATCTGGTGTCAAATAAGCCATTTCTCTTCATGAAAATGTAAGAAATGAGATTCTGTTCCATTGTGGAATGTGAACATATTTGCTCCCCAAGCACTTATAGAGAGGCAGCTGAACCATGGAGAGACCCAAGTTCCTGCTCATGGTAGCTGGCTCCGTGGTTCAGCATCCTTGTCTATAAAGTGGGGTAGCCCTTATCCTCCCTCCTTTTTCCCTATCTACCAGTGGGCATCACCAAGGAGATGGACCCTGCACATGGAAACATTTGCACATTGTAAAGTGCTAAAGGCACAGAGGCCTTATTTGGGGATAGCCTCAGATTTGACACAAGAAGACCTGCTTTCTCAACTCAGAAAGACTCCTAAGCCTCTATCTTAGGGCAAAAGTTTCAGCCCTAGTCCCCTTCCATTCCTGGCCCTCTAACTTTAAAGTATCAAGGATATATAAATTTTCTGTCTGTGAGAAAGCAGAAAATTTAGTATCCTCATACAGGAGTCTGTCAGTTTTCATAGATTTTTAAGTGGAAAGAAATATTTTCTCAGCTAGTCATGGTGGTATATGCCTATAATCCCAGCACTCATCAGGTAGAGTCAGGAAGATAAGGAATTTAAGGTCACTCTCTACTACATATTGAGTTTGAGCCCAGCCAGGCTACATAAATGAACTTGTCTCAAAAAATAAATGAACAAAAAAATCTCAAAAGCAAGATGACTGATTATTTCAGGAAATGTTTTCAAGTTCTGTGTTGATTATGGATGTTTTTGAATTCTTATCTTTGCTTCCTCATCTTACCAGAAACCCATTATTTCATCACCCAGTCAATTTGACCTAAACTGGGCACTACTTGGGGGTTGAGGTTTGAAACTATACATGTTGATTCAGTCTACCTCAGTAACCACAATGCATGAAGATGGCCTGCCAGCCAGCCCTGAATGGGGAAGGCCAAATGTCTGTCAACAAGAGGACATAGCTTTCCTACTTACTCAAATTTTTCAGTAATTAAAAAAATATATTTTATTTATTTTTATTTTATGTGTATGAGTGTATTGCCTACATGTATGTAAGTGCACTTGTGTCACGTAATGCCCACAGAAAAGGGCATCAGATTCTCCTGGAACTGGAGTTATGGATGTTTGTTAGCAGCCAGTGGGTGCTGGGAACCAAACCCAGGTCCTCTGCAAGAGCAGCCAGTGCTTTTAACTGCTGAGCCATCTCTCCAGCCCCCCTCTCAGTAATTTTTATTGGGAGGGACCTTTTCACTTTGGGACATGAGAAGCCTCTGAATATAATTAAATATAAAAAAGAAAACTATGGGGTTTTAGGATCTACTACTTCAAATGAGGCAGTAGGGGCTGGAGAGATGGCTCGGAGTTTAAGATCACCGGATGCTCTTGCAGAGGACCCAGGTTCAGCTCATAGCACCCACATGATCACTTACAACCACTTGTAATTCCAGTTCCAGGGAATGCAATGTTCTCCTCTGTGGGTACTGCACAAACATAGTGCACATACATACATACAACAAAACCCATACACACAAAATGAACATAAATAAATTTTTTAAAGAAATGAGCAGGACATGGTGGCACATACTATTAATCCCAACACTTGGGAGGCAGAGGCAGGCAGATCTCTATGAGATGGAGGCCAGGCTGGTCTCCATAGAGAGTTCCAGGCCAGCTGAGACGACAGGGAGACTCTGTCTCAAAAGAGAAAAAAAAGATAATTTATTTTGGTCAGGTGTTGGGAGAATTTTTGAGGCAAAGTCTCATGTAGCCCAGGCTGGTCTCAAACTCTCTATGTAACAAAAACTGGCCTTGATTTTCTAATCCTCCTGGGATTATGGGTGAGCACTGCCATACTTGGTTTACACAGTGTTGGGGACTAAACCCAACATTTCAGAGCATGCTAGACAAGCACTCTACCAACTGACTCACATCCTCAGCTCTCAGCTGTTTATTTTAAAACTGAGAAATAAACTTCAACACTATTTTTACCTTAAAACCAGCCATGAGGCCAAATCCCCCATTCTGATGTATGAGCTGCCCCAACCAACTGGATGTAGCAACTGCTCACCAGACTGAGAATTACCCTGTCTCACACATCGATCTTCCTTAATCTCACATGACTTTCTAGAACAACAGCTTACCAGGATAGCCATTTCCATCCATATCAATGCCTCCTGATATGGACTGCCCAAACATCCGCAGGACTGGGTTTATCTTCCTCCCAGACAGTTTCTGAAACAGACAATAGGGAAGTGGAGTCACAGAAAAAAAAGAACCTGGGACTGTTTGAACCCAATTTCCCCAGGACACCAGAATTTAAGATGTTGAAAGTAAAGAAATTTCAGGCTGAATTTGATCAGAGGGTCTTGAGTAGGTAGTAGAAAACCACACACTCCCAATATGGTTAGGGTTAGGGTCCCTTAATAGTAATGTTATTGGTCAGATGTCATCATTTAAAAATTTAGCTAAATATGTACTAACAAAATGTCCATGAGACTTGTATGATGTTTTGACATATAGACTGGCTTCCATTTCTTTTCTTTTTCCTTTTTTCTATGTGTCTGTTTATATGTGCGGGCATGTACATACATATTTGGGGGGCTGTTCACATATGTGTATGTGCATGTGGAGGCCAGAGGACAACCTTAGATGTTAGTCTCAGGCTCAGTCCCTTTTTTTTTTTTTTAAAGCCAGGCATGGTGGTGCATGCCTTTAATCCCGGCACTCACACTAGGGAGGCAGAGGCTGTGCGTTCAAACCCAGCCTGGTCTACATTGTGAATTCCAGGCCAGCTGGAGCTACAGGAAGACCCTGTCTCGGAAAAGACAAAAAGAAGAAGATAGGGTCTGTCACTGGCATGAAACTTGCTAAGGAGGCTAGGCTGGCTGGCTAGCAAGCCTAGACATCCTCCTGACTCCACTTTCCCAGTGCTGGGATTATAAACGTGCACAACACCTGATTGTTTATGTAGCTTCTGGGAATCAGACTCAGGCCCTCTGCTTCCATGCAAATACTTTACTGAATGCACCATCTCCCCAGCCTTTGACTTTCATTTCTAATAGGTTCCCTTTTGTTTTCATCCACGTATAGCTGGTTGAAATTCTGAGCATCTTTAGCTCCAAATTCTCTACCCAAGTAAGTACTAACTACTGACTCTGCTCTCCTATGATAGACAGGTAACTAACATATCCAGCTAGAATGATGGCCATGTGGAAACATCCCTCCAGCCAGCCATTAAAGCTGCCTGATGTTGTGGCTTGTGCTTGAAATCCCAACTCTGGGGAGACAGAGACAGAAGAATCCTGAGGCTCACTGGCTACCTTACTTAGCGATCCCCCAGCCAATGAGACAAACTGTCTCAAAGAGGGTACACACACACACACACACACACACACACACACACACACGCACGCACGCACGCACACACACACACACACACACACACATATTTTTAAATTGAAGATGGGGCTGGAGAGATGGCTCAGCAGTGAGGAGCATGCACTACTCTTGCAGAGGACCTGTGTTCCCTTCCCAATATCCACATTCTGTGACACAGAGCTGCCTGTAACTCCAGCTGCAAGGAATCTGATGCCCTCTTCTGTCCTCTGATGGCATTGCACACATACTTATACACAAACACACATAAATACACATAATTAAAAATAAAACTTAACCAGGCATGATGGTGCACACCTTTAATCCCAGGAATGTGGAAGCAGAGACAGGTGGATCTCTGTAAGATTGGTCTACCTGGTTAGTTCCAGGCCTGCTGGGGCTACAGGGAGATCATGTCTCAAAAAGATAATAAATAAGCTAAAAATTTCTATTTTATGTGTATGAGTGATTTGCCTGCATGTATATAAGAGCACCTGTGTCAAGCAGTGCCCACAGAGGTCAGAAGAGGACTTCAGATCCCCTAGAACTGAAGTTTCACATGGTTGTTAGCTGCCATGTGGGTTCTTAGAACAGAACCTGGGTCCCCTGCAAGAGCAGCCAGTGCTCTTAACTGCTGAGCCATCTTTCCAGGCCCATAAAAACTTTTTAAAATAAGAGGATATGTGTCATACAGCCATCCCTCATGCCACCAAAGCTATGGATTGGTGTGGCACAGTTCCTTTCAAAGACACTGAACTTTTTGAGCCACAAAGGTCTTGTTTTCTGAGCTCTAACCAGTTCCTACTTCCCTCCATTCAGCTTTCTGTTGACATGATAAACACCATGGCTAAAAGCAACTTGGGGAAGAAAAGTATTTATTTCATCTTACAGGTCTATCATCAAAGGGAGCCAAGGCAAGAGCCTGAAGCAGAGTCCATGGAGGAACATTGCTTACTGGCTTGCTCCCTCTGATTTGCTCAGCTACCTTTCATATACAGCCCAGGCCCACCTGACTAGGGATGGTACCGCCCACAGTGGTACTGCCCATAACATCAGTTAGTAGTCAAGAAAATGCTTCACGGACATGCCTACAGGCCAATCTGTTCTGAGCAATTCTTCAGCTGAGGCTCCCTCTTTCCAGGAGACTCTAGGTTTGTGTCAAATTGACAGCAAAAGCTAAGTATGCCACATAGTCTCCTTGTGGATGACAAGAAACATGTTTTGTTTCTACACCTTATAGCAAAATCCACAATACAACCAGGTTCACAGACATTCAGGGCTTTTCTTGGGCCTCTTTCTTCGTGCTTTTCCTTACTGAGTCATCCTGCAGAGACATGGAGCTGGGAGACTTTCCACAGGATCTGCCGGTGGAAATAGGGGTGTCCCCTGTCCTCAGCAGCTGATAACTGCAAAGAACTCTCCCAGAAATGATCTGAGAGGAGAGCCGCTTGCCTTCTTCAGTTACAGCAGCCAACAGGAAATATGTGAGTATCAAAGTGCAGCTCAGATCCCTGCAGGCAGTGCTGCAGAAATGCTGCGTGCTAGCAGGCTAAGCCTCACATCCCACACGGCTCTGTCTAAACAAACTTGTATGTGTAGCTGTGTAAAAGCCACACTTTGAAGCAGTGTGTCTCAGCTGTGAAGGCTAAGAACTCCTGTAGCAGTTTGCCCTGGGTGTGTGTTTCTTAGGTATTCTGTAGCTGGGACCGGGGGGAGAGAGAAGGGTGGTCCATTTGAGGGTGGTGATACAGGCTTAAGTTATACACTGACATCTGCAGACCATTATACTATAAAGCCAGGAAGATAGTCTGCACAGTGCTAATAACCCTAAATGGAAACCAGGAACTGTGGGAAACCTCTGCTTGACCAGGTTTATATGCCGAGTCTGTTAGGTCCATGGGAAGATCACAGGGGCCGCTACAACATGCCCAGGGGACTCTCAAATTGAGACAGGCACACAAGGATCTTAAAGTCAACACTTTTCATGGTTACCTCGAGGAGGAGGCATGAATTGGAGGGTAATGTGGGAGGAGTCTGGGTTCTGATCTCACAATTTCTCCAGCAGAAATAATACAAGTCAGGGCCAAAGAAAAGTGATCCTGTTGCCTAGATCTCATTTCTGATTTCTTCCTCTAGTTTCTGCATACAATGTCTACTCTGTCCAGGATCCAGGCTTGGATGAACCTGTCATTAATGGATTTTTACCCCTTTTAAATCATCGACCTTATCATATGCATATTAGTAAGTTTGGAAAAGTATAATCATAGTTTGTTTTTCTCTTTCTCTGCCTTTTGATTTAAAGGACCCCAAACCACTTCTCTCTGTGGACTGAGGAGCCAGGGTGCATGCTGACAAAGGCACCTCATCCAACTGCCAATTTCAGCTTCCTAGAAGACACTCCAGGCTAACCACAAATGTGCACTGCACTTTCTGCAGAGATCCCGCCCAGCAACCAAACAAACACTGGAGAGCCACACCAGGGGGATGCAGGGTGTCCCACAGGTAGCCTCTCTGCCTGATTAGCTTCCTAGGTCCAAACACAAGCTTCCAGTAGGATGTGTGGAGAATGACCCTGACCCTCTGCCTGAGGATGGGCTCCTTAAATGACACAGCAGACACAGCATCCCTGACCCAGACCATGTGGCTCCCTCACTATGTCCAAAGCTTCTGATGAAGCTGAACAAATTGCCTGAAGTTTATTGTTCCCATGGTTACTGTCTCTAATAACGAGAGAACAGTGGAGAGATACCCTTTGGAATATGAGTGCCTCAGGACAACATAGGTTTTCGTGTTTGTAAGTTTTCCTGTCAAGTTTTCTCGAGTAGGCTCATGGAAATCAATGCATAATAAATGTATCCTTCTCATACAGTTGTTATGAAGATTCAGGGCAAAGAATGGACAGAGCAGGCCCTCTAAAAATAGTCCTTCTTCCTCTCCAAGAACCTCCCTAAGTATCTTCCTCTCCCAGGCCAGGCACTGGGTTGAACAGGGAGCAGGCAGAGAGAGAACCAAAGACTCGATGGCCAACAAGTCCTGGACTTCTAACTCATTTGCTACAAGAACAACCAAGAATGAGAAATTATACATCAGGGCTAAGGATATGGCTCAGCAGTAAGAGTACTTGCTACACAAGCACGAGGGTCTGAGTTCAAATCCCCAGCACCCATGTAAAAATCCAGTCTTGGCCATGACAGCCTATAATCCCAGTGGCTGGTAGAAGCAGAGACAGGAGGATCACTGAGCCTTGCTGACCACCAGCCTAGCTTCAGGTTCAGTAAAAGACATTGTCTCAAGAGAAAAAACAGAGAGTGATAGAGCAGGACACCTGATGTCCTCCCCCGACCTCTGCACATACCACATGTGCACATACACCACACACACACATATATCCCCACATGCACATGTGTACATACAAATTAATAAATAATAAAAATAAAAGAAATGGTACCTCTATTTGCATATTGACTCTTAAAATACAAACCTATATGCTAAGATGTGAACAGGAAGTGCTTAGCACTTAAGTATTCAAGAACAAATACTTGCTGACTAGAAAGTTCTTTTTTGTTGCTGTTTTGGTTTTTGTTTGCTTGAGACAAGATCTCTAGCCCAGGCTGGCCTCAAATTTCCTATGTAGTTGAGGATGACCTTCAACTTCTGCTCCTGTTTCCACCTCCCAAGTGCTGAGACAGATGACAGGCATGTGCCACCTTCCATGGTTTATGGAGTGCTGGGGATGGGACCCAAGGCCTTGTGCACCTTAGGAAGCACTCTACCAACGGAGCTACATCCCTAGCACCTGAATGGAAAGTTCTAGATGGGTTCTCCGGCAGGCAGTTTCTGCCACTGACCCACTGGGAGAAAGATACAAACCAGTACCATTCTATACACATTCACAAATATCCTGAGCATGCTTCTGTTGAAAGTATGACTTCCTTTTTTCCCATGGGCCAGGCTTGATACCATCAGCAAGATTGAGCACCATGCTTATATGGCAAAAAAACAAAACTCCCCACTTCCACATCCCCAAGTCCAGGATGTGAAACTGGAGCTTTGACTAGATCCTGGTGCTAAGTCTGACAACAGCCTATGACGACTTTCAGGCCCTCCTATGTGGATCATTGTCTCCACAGATTACATTTTAAAACATGTTCCTTTGGGGCCTGGGGCCATGGCTCACTTGGTAGGGTGCTTGGCTGCCATAAACAAAGCTCTAGGTTCAATCCCCAGCACCACATAAAACTGGACATGGGGTACACACTGGTAATCTTAGCACTTCAGAGGTGGAGGTAGGAGGATCAAAAGTTCAAGATAATTCTCAGCTACCTAGTGAGTTAGAGATCAGCTTGGGCTAGTCAAGACACTGTTCAAAAACAGAAAGACTTTTTAAAAAGTATTCCTTTGGTTTAGTATACAGATGGTAGATAAAGGCATCTAAAAAGAGAGAAAGGTTTCTCTCTTTTCTAAAAAATATAGCTCTAGAGACCTTCAAGTGGCTCAGCAGGTAAAAGTACTTGCCACCAAGTCTGAGGATCTGAGTTCAATCCCTGGAACCCACATGGTGGAAGACAAAAATTGACTCCTGCTAGCTGTTCTCTGGCCATCACATATGTGTCATGACATGTGCATGTGCCTATACTTCACATACATAACATATACAATAGCCCAAAATAAATAAATGTAAAACTTTTAAAAATATTAATAAAATAAGTAGCTCTAACTCCAGGTAAGAATTCAGATGGCTTTTGAAGACAAGATATATCCTTGAATGTAAGCAAATTTGGAAGTCTGTGAGCACTTTTCTGTATTTAATAAACAATATTGGTTGCTTGTCTCTTTCACCAGTACAAAGAATGAAAGCAGGCCTAAGTGTTTTCACATCATGGTACAGAGGAATCTCCATACATATTTATAAAGTGAATGCATGAACAGTTATCCTGGCCCCTCCTAACACTTACCATTGAGTACTGGGGGACTATCCCACTGACATCCCCATGATAGATATAGACTGCTCCAGCAAAGTCATCCTCCTTGGGTGCACCAACAGCCACATCTGAGGGGAGACAAACAGCTAGTTAGCTAGTTACCCCCATGTGGGGAGCTGGAGAGATGGCTCAGTGGTTAAGGGCACTTGCTACTCTCACAGAGGATGTAGGTTTATTTCCCAGCACCCACATGGTGGCTTACAACTACCTGTAACTCCAGTTTCAGGGGATCTGACACCCTCTCCTGGCCTCAACGAGCATTGCATGCATGTGGTACACTTACATACATGTAGGTAAAGCACTCATACACATGAAAACTTTTTTTTTAATTTAAACAAAGTCATGTGGAATAACACAAATGTGGTTTCTTTAATTCCAGGCATTATGTTTGAATTCCCTGATATCACAAATTCTTGTCAGCTTGTTACTCAACCATTAAATTAGGTATATGGTATATTAAACAGAAAAAAAATGTGGAAAGTTATAAATGCTAAGAGCTTAGTCTTAGGAAAGTGTTTCTACCTCATCGTTAGAAAGAAAAAGAAACAAATGCTAAAAAAGAAACAAATGTAAACAACCCATCCTAATCTCCATCTTCTGGAGAGGGCATTCCATAGACAATGGTTGATGCATAAGTGAGAAAGTCAACTTTATTTTAGGAATAAAGGAAATAGATCCAGTGGCATTCTTTTCTCATACACGCCAACATCATTCTCACAAATAACAGTTCCTGGAATGGCTGAATCTTCCTTCCTTTCTTCCCTTGGCTTCTAATAAGTCATGTGTCTGCAGAAGTGAGATCAAGGGTAAGGGGTAGGCATTCTCACGGCCTCAAGATAACAGTTGTCTCTCTGAATGAAGCCATCTGTGGTCAATGGTGTGAAGTCTTGAAAGGTATCTGGCCTAAGCAAGAGCTGCACCCCAACCCTAGAGAAGCAGCTCTTCTAAGTCCTAGTATCTGAACACTGTACGTACAGCAAGGAGAATAGGGAAAGAGCTACTGAAAAGATCAGAGAGAGAAGCCAAAAGGTGGTGGCGGGTACCATTGCTCAACCTGTACATATCCCTATTCCTCTGACACACCATCCTCAACCCACCACCATACTTCCATCATCAGAGGAGAAGATGTCTAATTTTTTCCTTACTCATTTCCTCATCAAGATGATGGGCATCTCAGATGCAGAGGCAAACAGTTTGATGGGAGAAATCCCCCAATAGACCAGCCCCCGGGTCTGCTTCCACTGCAGACACAGCACAGAGTTCAGAGCTGGTGAGGAAGGAATGCACAGAAGCAGAGTTCTAGCACTCAGTCCTGAATATCACCATGGAGAACATCTCTAAGAGTTGTCCTTTCTCCCCATGGGATGTTGATGGACCTTCAGGGGTGGACTGGAAGACCCAGAACTGAGTTGCTAAGGAGGAACAAAGTTAGAGCTGCTATACCTGGAAGGAGTCCACACCCCAGGGAAGCCTCACTCACCTGGGAACCCATCATCATCAAGATCACCCAGGCTAGCGATGCTCTCCCCAAAGTGCGCATTGTAGGCGCCATCTCCCGTGAGGGCCAGCTGTTCCTCGAGGGCTCCCTGGGAAACAGGATGGAGGAAAAAAGAAGGGGGGAAGAAGCACAATGAAAACTCAGAACTCAGAACGCCACCCTCTTAGGGCACACCCACGGACAGGAAACATCTGGGCAGAATCACAGAAACCCCAACTTCTCTCCTAGTAGCAGAATAAGGCCTTTCACCTGTGCAGTAGGAGGCTCTGCAGAAACCTAAGATGTGTTCTAAAGGCAAGGGAGATGGCCTGTGGGCCAAGGACTGCACCTCACCTGTACGATATAGACAAGCAAACTTACCACTTCCTGGTCTCCACAGTGTCCTCTGGGTTTTCCTTATGACCCAACTCTTCCCTCAAAGTTGTTTTAAGGTGTGACACAGCAAACAGAAACAGGTACCTCTGCTTCCCTCCCTAATTCCTTCTTTTTAAACAACTCATCCCTTTCATGGGATTTTCTAAATCCTAAAGCAGTCTCTGGAGGGCCTCTTCCTCTCCTCAGATCAAGTGAACTGACTGTATTTTTCTGAAGAGAAAATACAGGTGCTGGTCCAGGAGGCCAGGGTCCCAGGTCCAATCCAGCAAGAGGAGAGATGGACACAGGCTCTGGAGAGAAAGACCCTGTCCAGCACAGCGATTTCCTGCCCAGTGATTCACTGCTCACTGTAATCTTTGTGTCCTATTTTAAAAGCCCTTTGCACTCTTGAGCCTCCTACCTTAGGATATAAATACGAGATTTTTTTAAAGTTTCCTTGATTTTCCTCAGGGCTGGCCTTGAATAAACCTATTTTCTTCTTCTAATTTATATCACCCTGTTTTTTTTGATAGAGAAGTAGACAGGTGGGACCTTAGATTCTGCTAATCAAAGGAGTACACATTTTTCTTTTTTTTCCTGTCCTGTGCCTTTTCGTACAAGTTCCTAAGGCTGTTTTGCACAGGGCATGCATTGATAATCTTATTAGAGGGGCTGTGGTACTGAGGTGGGGGATGCATCACACATGGCTCGGCTTTGAAATTCTTGAGCAAACACTTGCAGAGAGGGAAACAGTGTATATAGCAGCAAAAGCCATCCAAGAATACCCACAGCCTTGCAAATCATTGACCTGTGAATACCAAAGCACTAAAACACAATCTGATGTCTGTAGGCACAAGAACGTTTAAACTTTTCTTGGTGTGGAGGCATTTTGGACTTCCCATACACCCACAGTCCACCCCATGAGGGTCTGTCTTTTGCTGTGAATAAATATCCTTTGCTATAAACTAAACTTAAAGCTTAAAAAACAATATGAAGATGTAATGATTTCTTTTTCTAAGATTTATTTTACTTAATGATGAATACATATGTGTGTCTGAGTATGAGTATGTGCATGTAAGTGCAGGTGTCTGCAGAAGCCAGAGCTGTCAGATCCCCTAGAGCTGGAGTTACAGGTAGTCATGAACTCCCAACATGAGTTCTAGGAACTGAACTTGGGTCCTCTACAAGAGTAGCAGATGCTCCTAACTGCTGAGCCATCTCTCCAACCCCAAGATATAATTTCTTGAATCACTGATATCCTGTCCAAAAATACAAATAGGCTTGTCTCTCAGTATCTGGAGATATTAGTGTCAGAACCCCTGGGATACTTAAACTGAAAATGCTCAAATTCTTTATATGAAACAGTATAGTGTTTGCATATAACCTACACATGCCCTCCCCATCCTTAAACCATGTATAGATTATTTATAATATCTAATACAATGCAAATGATATGCAAATAGATGTTATACTACATAATTTAGGGAGCAGTGAAGAAAAAGACATCAATACATATTCAGTACAGACACAACTGGTTTTGTCCACAAATGTTCAATCTGTGTTGATTAAATCCAAGGACCCTTGGACACAGATGGCTGATTCTGTAATTCTCCCTGCTAGTGTGATGTGGAAATTCCTGATTCCTCTACATATGTCCACCCAAGCACTGCATATCATCTTGTTTAGGCTATGTGGCACTTCCCACTTCACAGAAGAGGAAATGGAGGTGTCAATTTCAAGCTACTTGTTCACCTCATATAGCCAAGAATTGGCAAAAGTAAGATTCATGCTCAGGTCCACCTGCTCTACTATTTTTTCCACTCCTTCATAGAGCCTCATGGTTGCTAATCAAATGGGCTAATTTTCAATAGAAATAAGAGTACCCTGGTATGTGAGGTAACCATATGGCAATACGGTGTACCAGATGGTGTCCTGGTTAGCTTTAACTGTAACTTGTCATCTGAAATGCTTCAGTTGAATAACTATCTAGAGCAGATTGGCCTGTAAGTATGTCTGTGGGGGGTTGTGTTGCTTATTAATTGATATAGAAGGTTCTAGCCTACTGTGGGCAGCACCATCCCTAGGCAGGTGGTCCTGGGCTGTATAAGAAAGCTAACTAAGCATGGGCCTGGGAGAAAGTCAGCCAACAAGAAGGACTTCTCCATGGTTTCCTCCTCAGGTTCTTGCTTGAGTTCCTGTCCTGACAGCCCTCAGTGATGGACAATGACCTGGAAGCATAGGCCAGATAAACCCTTTCCTCCTCCAAGTTGCTTTTCATAAAATGTTTTATCACAGCAACAGAAAAGAAACTAGAATGGATGAGGGTGGGGGATGGACGTGTGGGAAAAGTCATCCTCCAAGATTCTACTAGTATCTAAACACAGTCAGGTCAGGCACATGTTTCAGATTCCTGCACATATAACCATACAGCCACTTGATACCCATCAGTCTCACCTACAGAACGACCACCTCGTTTCTCCTTATCAACCTCCCCTCAAATGTTAAGAATGCAGGTGCCAGGAGTTACTGCCCCTGGGACCCAGAAGTACTTTCCCTCCCAGGTTTTGATCCATCTTCCCAAAGAGTCTGCAAATATCAGGGGAGGCATAAGGTTGGACATTCCTGGGCTCTCTTTCCATGGATGACCCTTTTTTCCTGGCAACTGCCCAGAGAATCAGAGTCCAACTCCATTGTCCTTTCTCAGTTGGGTCAGTAGCACCTTGATCTGCTTTAAAATACATTTGGGTTGAATCTTTGACTATGAAAATATATTTCATCAGTTAAAGATTTTTAAAAAACTACTCAAGAACCATCTTCCAGAGCTCTATTAATATGAGTATGCCACATATTTTTAATTTTTGAGATGTTCATGCATGATGCAAATATCATTTCCACCTCTCTCTCTCTTCCCACATACCACATATCTTTAAAGGTTACAGGTGGGTGTGACATTTTCCCTGATGATCTTGTAGACATTTTCACATCTTAACTAGAGGTCAGTGGTTGCAGAATGCATTCCTTGAATCATTCCCTTCCTATTGAACACTTGTACTTCTAGGTCTTGAATGTATTCTTCTTTCTCAGGGTCTCCTGCTTCTGTTGGTTGCTGCTCTGCCCCCCTCCCCAAGACCCAATCCCACCCACCTCCAGCAGTGGGCAAAGGCACCTTTCTGAGTCTGCCTCATCCCTTACATTGCAGAATAAAAGGCATCATGATTGCAGTCCGTGGCCATTTTATCAGTGCCTGCCCAGCACCTACTCCATGCTGAGCTAAGTAAGGATCCTGCTACCTCACACCTGAACCTATTTGCCCATCTTTCTGCTGAGAGCTCTGCCCCACCCACCTTGATATTTCATCTAAATCCTACTCTTTCTTCAAGATTCCTCTCAGACATCCTGGCCTCTGCTTTTCCAGACAGATGTACGTAAACTCCCAGAGAGAAAGCATGGCCCAGGATGTAGCTGGCTTGCTGACAGTCAAATCCTAGCCTCACTACTTCTTAGCTGTATGTCTTGGAGCATGTAAGTTAAACCTTTAGGGCTTTGATTTTTCATACGAACAGTGAAGACACTTGGGTACTATGTGTATATTACATTGAAATCATTTAAAGAAAGCAGGAAAACAGTCCCTGTCACATGGCACTCAAACGGTCATTAAAGCTCTCCCTGAGTCCTGCACTTTGAACTTGTCACACAATATATAATTTCTCATTAATAGGCCATTAAACCTTTTCATACAGGAATCGGGTCTTTACCTCCTCTGGGTAACATGACCCAATGCATGGCACATTACCAAGAGAACCCAGAGGGTGCCCCTCTGTGACTAGACAGAAGTCCCTCCCCAACACCTGTCCCTTCATTGTCCAGTATTGTACTCACATTTCCTTTGCTGAGGTAGACGGTGACCTGGCCCTCATCTCTGATCTCAGAAAACATGGGGGCCCCCACCAGCAGGTCAGAGAGGCCATCCATGTTCAGGTCAACTGCACATAAGGAGGAGCCGAAGTAAGAGCCCATCTGCAACCAAGTTGAGTTGCGACAAAGTGTTCAGAGTCTGTTCTTACACACTGAGACCCTCACTTCCATCAGCCCAGTGGCTTTAGAAACACATGCCCCCAATCCCTCAGAAGCCGTGACAGCCAAACTGTTCTGCGATTCAGAACACCAAGGCAAAGAGTGATGTACCCATCTCCTAGGGACCTTCCAATCAATGGAAGACCAAAACTTGCCAGCTCAGAGACCCCTTTCCCAGACTCCCTCAGGGAAAGGCAAATAGGCCAGTCCCTAGAGAATGAGGCACCATTTCAAAATATGTACCCCATGTACCAAACATTGGACAAGACCAAGTCAGCAGGAATGTGAACTCTCACAACACAAGGCAGGAAGGAAAATATGACATGGGGGTATCATTTATCTTCCCCAAGTGTGAAGGCCCGAGCTCTGATCTGAAGTAAATTCAGAGTGAGTTCTGACCTGAAGTAAACTCAGATCTGGGCCGGGAAGCCTCAGTTCCCTGAGAACTTGGATGTTCTTCTGCAGTGATTTCTATCACAACACTGACAGTCCCTTGAACCCTATTAAATGTACATAAGTAAACTTGTATAACAAGGCTGTGTAACTAATAAAGTTATATGTAAAGAATAGAATGTTTAATAGGCGTGGAAGGACAGGTACAATTCCAAAAAGGGCTGAGCCCTGGGAACACAAAGGTACTGCAAATATCATAAAAGTACTGTAAATATCATGATGAGGTAATTTGGCTTGAGAAGAACATTTTCTTTTCCTCTTGTTGTACTATAAAGGTTGATTCTTAGAATAAAGCATGCACTGGTTCACACGCCTCTGCATCCCCTGCGTCCTGATTTCTTCTGCACCTATACCTCGGGGCCCCCAAGCCCATCAGGCTTGAATTGTGGTCACTGACCCGTGACACCCAAGTCTTGCGCATAGCTAGAGATCAGTTAAGAGGGCACAAGATAGAATGACAGAATAACTAAGAAAATTGATTGATAGAGAAACAGGACCAGTTTATACTTCTTCAGAAACATCTTCATTGGTACTTGTTATTTTATTCTTTACACATGTGTATATGTGTGTACCTGTGTGTAGATATTCATGTGTGCAGGCACATGTGCATACCTCAACCTCCCCATCACTGAGATTATAAGAAGCCTTACTATATACAGCTTTTTTATGTGGGTTCTAAGGATCTGGGGATCAAACTCAGGTCTTCAGTGCTTGCACAGCAAGCATTTTATTAGTCCAGTCCTCTCCACAGCCCCCGGATCTGTTATTTTATGCTCATAGTCTCAAACTGAAAGATCAGGGACATCTAGGCTCTTGCATAGGTATAAGAAAAAAAAAAAATAACAGTCCTAGTGTGTTTACAGGTGGCGAGTGGTACTTGTTGTCAGTGTCTAAGTCACAGTGGAGTGGGGACTGCAGCATAGGCCCAGATGAGGCAGCAATCCCTCCTAGTTGTGGCTAACCACCACCACCACCAGGAAAACTGACCTCAAGAAGATCAGCTTTTGCATTTCCAAAAGAAAACAAAAATGTAATATTTTACTTTAAGTATTTGCTTCAAATTCTGACAATCTGATCATATTGGGTGGGAGTGGGGGTTGCTTTTTGGTTTTTGTTTTTGAGACAGGGTCTCCCTGTAGCCCCATCTTGCCTGGAACTTACTATGTAGACCAAGCTGGCCTCCATCTCATAGAGATCTACCTGCTTCTGCCTCCCTATTGCTGGGATTAAAGGTGTGTGCTACCACACTTGGCCTGTTCATGTCTTTTTCAAAAAGATTAATGAGCTTGGATTGGTGGCACAGGACTGTAATCCCAGCTACTCAGGAGGCTGAGGAAAGAGGATTCCAAGTTCAAGGCCTGCCTGAGCTACAGAAAATGTTCAAGATCAGACCCTGACTGAAAAGTAGAAGTAAAAAGCAGGCAGAGGTTGAGCTTAGTAATAACAGAGCTTTGCCCAGCAAACTAAAGACCCTCAGTTAATTTCCAGCTCTGCAATAACAAAGAAATACTGAGCATGCCAAACAGAAGTGCAAGTTGGATCTATCCTCTCTAAAGGACTGCAAGTTTGTGACATCTATCAAAAAGAAAACGTTATCATTTTTAAATAAAAAATTTTCAAATAAAAAGGCCTCATCATTTTCTCTTGCTTGTGGAGTTTGTTGACCTGGGGACATTTAAGAGAGGTGGAGAGCTCTCTGACTTATTTCCTGCAGTGGATACTGACCCTGGAGGGCTCAGAAACTGCATCCCATGCTAAAGCCAATCCTGGTCTTCAAGGGATAAAGAAATGGCTCTAAAGGTTTGCAATTGTGGAGGCTGGGACCAGTCACCAAGTTGTCAGTCATAAATTCAGTGGTCTTGCCAATCTCCCTACCTGAATGTCAAGAAATGAACCAGGGAAGATGTAAGCAAGGTCAGAGGAGCAGAGCCAACAAATAGAGCCAACAGCTGTTCACTCAGGCTGAGCCCCAGAGGACTATTTCTTTAACCTTATTGGGCTATTTAGGTTGGCATCTTCATGGGCGTTCAATCAGAAATCCCAAAGTTTTGAAATATCAACACTTCACATACTGAGGTAAGTCAGTAAGACTTTAATATGTCAATGACACATTTTGGAGCCAGAGTCCCTTAACCAGAGCTCCCTGTCACCCTCGAAGGATGGAAGGCATGTGTGCTACTAATGATTTCTTATGTTTACTATTTCTAGGATGTCAACTCAATAAAGCCCAGAACCAGTTTCCTAGTGGGTTCTGTTGTTGTTTCCTTCCTGAGAGGGAACCAGAATACAGGACAATCTGGTACAAATTGGAGCCAGCTAAAAGCAGTGGCTTGCTGAGTTGGAACCTTTCTTTGTGTAGCCCTGGACCAAAGTTAGAGACATCCTTTGGAAACCCAGGAGGGTCATGTCCTCTTCCCATGAGATGATGGAGAAGTCAGAGTCCAGAGTGTCTCATTTCTATGACAGCAGGCCGTAAATGTCCAAGAAAGGCACAGGCGTATGTCAAAGCCAGAAGGGTGATGATGGGTATAGACCTATACATTCTTTGTGTTCTTTTCATATCACAAACAGCAAGCAGCTATTTCTTTTCTAACTTTGAGGCTACTTGGAAAACCTATTTTGTAAAATTGCTCACTGTTACTTTCCGATGTTGTTATTTTGGGGTTTGGGAAATGTTAAAATAACACAGGCCAGCACAGTTCTGAGAGGGAGAAGCAAGGCCAAGTTTGTGGATACATTAATTTTAGTGAAAAAGTTATGATAATTATATATAAAGTGTACATACTAAGTGTACTAAGTACACACACTACGTGTAAGGTTGTTAAAATTGCAACATCCAAAAAATCTACACATAAGTGGGATTTTTGGAATTTGGAATATGGTTTACCATCAGAACAATATGGAATGTTCCCAGGCTGGTGCACAGCAAGGCTGACTCAGAGCAGGAATGGATCAGAAACAGGAAGAGTAATCATTATGTCCCTCTTGTTTTGGGGAACCAGTGGGTAAAACCTTTTGGTATCTCCTTCCTACACCCCAGGCATCCCATGAGCCCCCTAAGGCCTCCACCAAGAGCAGCCTCCAAATGACCCCATAACCCTCCCGGCCTAAACAGTGCCCCACAGAGCAGCTAAGTTCAGCCATGTCATCCTGCTGAGCTAAGCCACATAAACACAGGCAGGACTGAGAAGCTAAGAAAAGGATGTGAATGAATCACAGGACCATTCAACAGGCTTAATCTCAGGATCATGTAATGAAACGTTCAGGAAATACAGAGGGAGATGAGCAGGGTAGCGTGTCACAGGTAGATAATCCTTTTCCAGGACTACCTTCAAGAATAGCTTTGTGACTATTTGTATTTCAACATTTTAAGCCTGAGAACATTGAGACCTGACATTGAAAACAGTTCAATAGAATTACAATAATAATAATAAAATAATAATAATAATAAATGTTATAATGTTTTAAGTAAGTTTACAATTTTGTGTTGGACTGTATTCATGGCTATCCTGTGGCCCATACATGTGGGTCATGGGTTAGACATCCCTCCCCGTGAGTGAAACTGGGTGGTTTTTGTTTGGATTTTCTTTAAGTGACAGCAGACCCCTGGCAATGATAGCAGAGAGTCCAGGACGTGGGAAGAGAGGGCCATGTCAGGCAGATGAGTCAGGGACAGTGAGGTGCATCTGTCTACCTGTGTCCCTGGAAAGTGATCACTTTGTGTGGGGCTGTACCTGATCTCTCTCAGGTGGAGATGTGTATGCATAAAAAAGATTCAGGAAGGCAAAAGTGAGAGGAGGGGAAAGGCAGAAAGATGTGCCATGCAGCATGTGGATGGCAGGACTGGACTACAAACCCTTTAAAAATGCTGCCCTGCAACTTAGCCCTGTGAAAACTCATCTCACTACATGATATCTCCTCAAATTAACATGAAATCTGCAAGTTACACTCCTCCCTGGCAGAGTAAAAGCAACAACATGCAGATAAACATAGGGCACAACTAAGGCCTCTGGATTGATTTGCTAAAGGGAACTGACTCCCAAATGAATCACACCAAGAACCTCACCTTTTTACCTGATGCCTGAAAAATCTTTATTAAGGTACCTGATCTTCGGTCAGCTCTAAAAATATAAACCTATGGAATGAAGAAAAAAAGAACTAGTTAGGATGGAGGCAATGACCAAAGATATCTATCAGCATCTTTCTGGTGTCTCGTGGCAGATGCACATGTGTTAGTTAATGATGATGAAGAAGTTAGCAACTCTCACCAACTCTGCTATGAAAGTGTCCTTTAATCCTGTGATGGAAACAACCACCACAGCTCCTGAACCACAGTTTGTGGAAGTCATACATGGTAAGACCCCGAAGGACTTCCCAATTACTAGTATACAATTTAACTCTCGGGGGAAAAAGTGCTTTCTTCTTTAAACTAGCTCCTTCAATGCTATGAGTTAGAGATTTAGCAGCTATCACAACCTAAGACAAAAGGGACAGAGGTAGATACTGCAAAGAACTT